GTTAATCCTTATTGGGTTATCGGTTTTACCCAATAACAGAATTGCCAAACCGAGCCCGAACTAATAACCCAATAAAAATAAAATTTAACCTGTTATCGAACCGTTAACCTAATAACCCAATACCGATAACTCAATAAATAATTAACAGTTTGGTTATCAGTTTTACCTGATATATGCCCACCCCTATTTTAGAACACTGATTTAGAACCGTCAACATCTCTTGTTGATCTGTTAATTTAGTGATCAAACATTATATTTATTTATAAATTGAGAAGTACGAAAAAGAAGGAAAAACAGAGAGGAAAATTCAATGCTTTTGGTCAGTGTGTGGTTACTTATCCTCTGCCAAATTCGTAACGTTAAGGCAAAGTGTAGGACGTGGGTAAGTGGGGGCCCATTTTGTATTTACGTCATTAGGTGGGTTGGAGCCCACTAACGGGGGTGTGGTGCGTGGTATATATACCACTTTTGGTGTGTTTTGAAATATCTCTATAATTATTAACACTCATCAGTAATGACTTGTGACCACTTTTAATGGTTGCTGACTCACCACTATTCTTTTCTCTCCAATTAAAACGACTCAAATTAAAATTATACAATATATTCGCTCCCACAAATAATAACCGATAAAATATATTATTTTTGACTTATTAATATATAATATATACATATTTTTTTATATTTAACTAGCAGATATAATTATTTTTTCCACTGGCCATATGCAACGTGCCTTTTTTTTGGACTTCATTTTCTTGGGCCTTATCATGGGTTTTGGATGATGGGCTAATTGGGCTGGGTCAGAAAGATAAAACAGATGGTCCATCCATCATGCTGGACTTATGGGGTAAAAACTTAGAAGAATTAATTCATATAGTCACCCACTCAACCAATTAAACTAAAAATAGCTGATTGAGGTATAATGTATGATTATATGTGTATAATTATATATAATTAATGTATAATTTATATATATGACTAGAAAAAATAAACAATGAATATCGCTGGCTATTTGTGTAAGAACAAAAACTTACGGGTATTCCAGGTTTATATCCAACAAAAAAAATGCAAGACAATATATATTATTTAACCATGGTTAGTGACAGTGGCGGAGACAGGATCTCCACGAAGGGGGTTCAAAATTTATTTTTGTATCTAGTGGAAATTGAACTCATGACCTTATGTAGATTTTGAACCCCCTTGACCACTAAACTACACTTTTGGATTGTGTTAAGGAGGTTCAAAACTTAATATATAGAGGTAAAAAATAGATTTTGCCTTATATATACAGTGTATTTTTTCGGCAAAGGGGGTTCGGGTGAACCCCTTGCGCCCCCCTAAATCCGCCCCTGGTAAGTGATAACTATGTGTGTGAAAACATGTATTGTATATTTATTGCATTGATTTAAACATTGCAAAGAATAAATTTTTACCGTATTTAGCCATATACATGTGGAGAAAAAAAAGAAAGAAACAAGTGCCAATGGGTGATCAATAAGGTCCATGGCCTAGGTTGGTGACCTCATTTGCACTTTGTGAGGGGTGCTCGCCTAAGGGCAACTCAAGTGGTTGAGTCTACGTCATAATTTGTGGTAGCAGGTCCTGCGTTTGCTCGGTCTCTACAAAAAAAAAAGGTAAAATATTACATGCAGCCGATGCTCACATCAAATCAATTAATGCAAAATATGTGTCATCCATATAAATTATAGCAGTTAATCATAGTTAATTTATAAGTATATATTTTTACAGTTATTTTTATCTGAAAATTAAATTATTTGATTTGATATGGGGCGAAGAAAATAGTGCTCAAAGAAGCATAGGTGGCATGTCATGTGGACATGTGAAGTGGTGGAGTGGTTAGGAATCATTAAGGACGTGCTAACTGTAATGAAAGAATATGGGCTTCTTCTGCCCATAACTGTCGTTTTCCTACGTATTTTTATCCAATCATTAATTATTTTTGGGGTTAAGAAAGAAATTAATATACAGTGGATTGCTAGCTGTGATATCTCATCGACCCGTATATTAAATTACCAATCCTATACCATACTTAATTAAGGATCTAATTAATGGGCAGTTTTTACTCCTTAATTAAAGGTATTCATATATCCCACGTTTCTCTCTCCCCTTAATTCCTAAGATCTGACCAATGTCATTTCCCCCCTCCCATTTCTTTCTCTTCTCCATTCCTTCTTCTTCTCAAAAAATACAGAGATGGAAATTGCAATTTTGTTACGTACGAAATAGTAGGGCCCATGCTTTCCTATTTCTTTTCGGATTCAAAATTATATTCTTATAGTTTTACGACATAGAGCTACTGTCTTCACCAAATATTGAAGATAAATCTTCAAAGTTCATACACACATTTACCTTCAACTTCAAATTTTCTCAATGAAGAAGAATAAACCTTCAAAGAGATAAAAGAGCAACAATTCCACCATTGACAGCTATTAAAAAGCTTTGAATCTTTGAATTCAAATTTGGGTTTTCAAAAATCATTATTGGTTTTGATTGGGTGTTGTTGTAAATAATTGGGAATATGTTTTGGAGTTTATATCTCAATTTTGAGGGGTTTTGGTGAAGATTTAGACTTGGTTTTGGCTGAATTGTAGATTGAAACTCGAAGAAGAAAAAGAAGAAGAAGACATATTGCAGAAATTGTAGATAAATTGTAGTTACAGTTGGATTGATCAGAATTTGAACTAAATACATCTTCGCACATATTGACTACAAAATTTTTCTCTTCATCTACAAAAATTCTACAAATATACTACAAATCAATTTTAAGCATGTATAAAGCAGTATTATTTGTAAGGGTATCTACATAATTACTACATTTATACTACAATTAAACTACAATCTATGTTGAAAATCTACAAATTATCTACAAAATATCTACAAACTGGGTACATTGAATTTTAATATCCCAATTCTCATTCAATTGTAGCATAATTGGGATTTTTGACATAATTGCGTTTTTTCAGAAGATTTGTAGAAGTTTTAGTCGTTTTTGATGTGTGAAAACAGAAAACAAAGCACCTACAATTAGAATACAAATAATCTACAATTTATCTACAAAATATCTACAAACTGGGTGCATTAAATTTTTATATCCCAATTCACATCCAATTGTAGCATAATTGTGATTTTTGACATAATTGCGTTTTTTCAGAAGATTTGTAGAAATTTTAGCAGTTTTTTATTTATGAAAACAGAAAATAAAACATCTACAATCAGAATACAAATAATCTACAATTTAACTACAATTTATCTACAATTTCTGCAATATGTCTTCTTCTTCTTCTTCTTCTTCTTCTTCTTCTTCGAGTTTCAATCTGAAATTCAGTCAAAATCAAGTCTAATCTTCACCAAAACCCCTCAAAATTGAGATATAAACTCCAAACCATATTCCCGATTATTTTCAACAACACCAAATCCAAACAAATAATGATTTTTGAAAACTCAAATTTGAATTCAAAGCTTCCAAGCCTTTTTAATGGCTATCAATAGTGGAAAATATATGGAAGAACAAATGAAGATGAAGATGAAGAACAAAAATCTCCTTTCCGTTCAAAACTTGAATTTAATGTAGACTCAATCAATCGCAAGATTTTTTCCTGATTTTTAGCGCGTTAATTATGGAAGATTTTGCCCAATTAATCGTGTATTAAACAAATGGTACAGAAATTGTAGGAAAACTGTGGACTGAGCGGGTAATTTACATAGTATGCACATATTTAGTAATAAAATTTCATATATGGTATAGTTAGGAAAAAATTCCTATATCATTTTTGACTAATATGGGAGCCTTAATAGGCTGAGGTTATTCGGTTTTTATTGTTATTGATTGGTTTTCGTACGCAAAGAATTTGGTTCTCAAAGATTGAGTCAAATACTGTCTTATGCCATATAATTAATGCGCTATGCAGCCAATTATTATGGTGGTAAATACTGAGTATAGCGCATATATTACATGCGCATACTATGGTTCTCAACATTTTTCTTCATCTATTTTTGTCTATTCAGTCGAAATTTACAATATTTTGATTCCAGACTCACAAATCTAGTACATATTTGGCACAATTTGAACTACTATTAGCACATGGAAAGCAAATAATAACACCGATTAACTTATAGGAGTATTAACCATGACAAGGAACAAGAAGCTGGAGTTAAAAACTTCATCTGAGAAGCTGAACCTACACAGCATAGAATTTGTGTTTTACCATAAGAAAATCAGTGTAATCAGGGAGGGGCGGAGCTAGAAGTCCATATGTGATTTCGGCTTAACCTAATAACTTTTATTCAAATAGTACATTTGTATTAAAAAATTTATTAATATATACAAATATTAAATTTAGAACCCACGCTTGAAATAGCTATTTAGAACTCATTAAGATGAAATCTTGGTTTCAGGGAAAGTCAAGAAGGGGATAATGAGCTCAGTAAGCATGCCAGAGAAGAATCGAAAGACCTTGACTTTTGCGCTATTACCACTCATAATTAGTGGGATTTTTCAACCACAACATGCAAAAATGCATCGATAAAGTAATGGAGCGTTGCTTTCATCCCGTGACAAGAAAAATGGTCCATTTGAATGAGTTTCTAATGTTTTTTTATTCGTAAACTTCATTAAACAATATTATTCGAGTGTGTGACCATCACGTGGAATTTTTTTAAAATTATGGATGGCGCTGGGACTCGAAAGCAGAACCTTTGGTTGCTCTAATACCATATTTGAAGTGTGTCCATATTATTTAAAAACTTAAGTTGTTAGAGAGACACTTTTAGTATTTAATTGTGTCTTCAACACATATGTATACTAATAAATTTATAAGACCTTACCTATTAAATAACAAAAGAAGACGTTTTAACTGTACAGTTTAACTGCATCATAGTAGTATACTTACTTATAGATAAGTCTAAAGTTCATACATTTATTTGTATTACCATACTTCAAATCCTAGATCCATCTTGAGAGACAGGGTTGTCGAGATTATGTATTGTCCAGTAAAAAGGTTGGAGTTAGTTCTCTGTCACGGAGAAATCTTTCTTTTTTTCCCCAATACAATGTCTCTTCAAAAGAAAAAAAAACCTATTCCTATTAAGATACAACAAATTCAATAAGAATATTCATTTGTACAAAGTTGTTGACCTTTCTACTAGTATTACAATTGATTCAACAATTGGGATGACATCTACTGAAGCTCCCAAAAAATAACGAGAGCTGTATTTCTTCCTTTTTTGAGGCAATAGATGTCTTCTGGAACCTCTGTTTAAGCATATAAACGAAGCACAGCAAGGCCAACAGCTGAGATGGACACAAGTGTACCTATACAATATTTGATGACTTCATATTTTCCAGCTTCAAGTTGCGCCCTCAGGGCATGGATTTCCTATTCATGGATCACATAGAAGAAGGTATTCACAAAATATAGAGAGTTTGATAAAGTTACCCGTTATTACACTAAATTTTGTTGAATTTAACTTATATACAGACCGATAGTCTAAAAGTTTTTCACACTTCCAGTGCAATTTAACCTGTTGAAACAAGTCATCTGTCATAGTTTCCAGGTAATTAGTTTACTTATTATATACATTTACCTATAGTTACCTCTTTTACACTGTCCGCGCATATTTGTACTCAAATTTGTTTTTCAGATAAAGTACTACATTTTATTACTGTAAGCAAGAACAAACACTTACTCGATCTAGCTTGTTAGTAAGGTTGGTGGTTTCTGCATTCTGCTTGGCAAGCTCATCGCGGATGCTTCTGCAACCAGTTGCAACTTAGAGTGAGCGACAATTATTCATTGATTTATTATGAAGTTGAAAAATGTTAATGAGCCTCATCATTAGATAGGAACTCTCAAAGTCTTACCCTCTTTCGAGATTTAAATCCAAACGTTGACCAGCAGTAAGCTTATCAATCTCATACCTGTATCAACAAATAAGTGGTTGACAAAGCTGGCAAATGAAGGTAAAATCAAATTTCCCACGATTCAGATGTACCTCAATTCGCTACGCACTTTTTCAATGTCATTCCGAAGCTTTTCAGTTTCATGTTGCAGTAGAGAAAAATGATTTTCCTGCAATGAGAGAACTTCAGGTATCAAACTCAATCAGTCTTGCAAGTTTACAAACACTAAAGCACATGAAAGTAATGCAGTAATCATCAGTCCAACATATAAAGTTCCAAAATTGCTTTTATCACTTTTATGCAAATGATCAGAAGCTAACACATCACTGACTAGCTATGGAAATCTACCGAACAATTCAGTCATATGGACAAGGCCAAACATCATTTCAAGCCGTAACACTTCCATATATACCATCAGTAAGATAACATTACGTTAGAATCGCTCTGTAGTAGAAGATTAATAAACAGCCTGAATTACATATATGGATTGCTCGCAGAGAAAAATATTTGGCTGCATTGATGTTCTAATTAATCCTTAGATCAGAATGTCACATTCACATAGTCCATAATTCTTCCTATTGGCAAGTTTAACTAGATCTTTTTGGTTCTTCCTTTGATCCACTCATAACAGTTCTGAACTTGGATATATTATTAGAACCTATCTAAGGAATTACCAAATGAATGATAATTGCATGCTGTTTTCCTATATTCAGTGCTCAGATACTTCTGTACTTTAGAATCATTAAAGTTCATGTATGAATTCATGTTGGTATTAATTGAACGCTTGAATAATAGGGATAAGCTTTTCCAAGCAAATTAAGGAAAGGGTATCTGAAACTACAGTGACAGTTTTTCGAAATCACAGTTTAAAATCTAAATTCATCCAGAAAATGTCAGAAAAGACATGAAGAATGGGTACCAAACTACAATCTTCGACTGCTGGTGTATTATTTATGGGAAAATATAAGGAACTATTAGGAGCCCTTTACAAGAATTTTGAGAAAATATTTGCATTGACTGTATTTAGCCCTCTAGGAAACAGTCTCTTGCAGTAATACACGGTAAGACTACGTACAATATGCCCTTGTGGTCCGACCGTTTCCCGACCCCGCGCATAGCGGGAGCTTAGTGCACCGCGCTGCCCTTATTTAGCCCTCTAAAAATGAGTTCAGTGCAACTTCTAGCAGAAGCTCTTTCTAACAGGATTTTGATCAATATGGCCACCCCTTAAACTAACACAAAGTAAAGGACTAAGGTGATGAGTGGTCCAAGTTAATTGCATTTTGAATGGATATTTGCAGTTATGTCAAATGATAAATTCTAGAATTGGAAGACTCCCTCTTCAGCTCCAACTGAAAGAACATTGCAAAATTCTGCACTGTAAGTTTAGATAGCTCACTCAGCTTAAACATTTCTACAATAAAAGTGAAGAATCTTTATGAATCAATATCTGGACTAAGAAATGAACCGGCCATAGCACTTTGCAGAACCTGTGCTTAGGAGCTAAACTTTTTCTTTTTTGGATCCTTTGTTTAATGAGCAGCTATCTTACTATACAAACAGCAAAAAAGTTCTCTAAACATCAAGGGATGAAACCTTCTGAAAATTCAATAGAATATATTTACCTGAGAACTTTGTATTTGGGATTTGAACTTGGAAAGATTGGCTTCTTGAACCAAGTCAGACTACATAGACAAACACACAAAGCAACATTTTCATATTGTTACAATAATGGCACATTGTTATACAAAACAAAAAGATAGTATCTGTGGCATATCTCTTACTTTCTGCATTTCAGCTAGTGAAACAAAAGAACAAGCAATATTTTCCAAGCTGTCGTTTAAAACCTCGGTGATAGCAGATGTTATTGCCTCTGCCTGCTTTGAAGGTACACCTTGTGCTTCTAAACTCTTAACCTGTCAAACAAACCAACTTCCTAAATATAGCAACAACTACTACTACTATGGCTCAATCCAAACAAGAATTGCGGTCAGCTATATGAATCCTCGCCGGAGGCGGAGCTAGAGAAGTAGATACATGCTTGGACGAACCTAGTTACTTTTGCTTAGACGACTGTATTTGTTTTAAGGAGTTCACTAAATATGCATAAGTAGTTAATTGCGAACTCATTAACTAAACAAGCTACGGGTTCAATGACAATTTCAGAACCAATAAACTTCAAATACTAGCTCCGCCTCTAGTCTGGCTGACAATGTCGTTCTATTTAAGAACATCTCAAACCAATAATATTCATACTATGCAAAATAAAAATAAAAATAAAAATAGAAGTAATACATATTGTAGAATGCACTATAACCGAACAATTCTATATGAATTTGCTTTCCAAAGGTAAAAATGCAATGTAAAAAATGAAGATGGCAATAAATTAAAAAGAAAAATAGATAATGGAGAAACAAAATGCGAAAATTACCAAAGCTAAGGTATCAACGAGAAATGCACGCTTGCCATTAGCTTTAACCAGCTGCGACATCTGCCTACAATCAAACTTGCTATGAGCAGAAGATTTCGCCGATAGCGAACCGTAACATTTGACGTTATAACCCTCGGCGCAATAATGGGATCTATTTACAAGTAAGGAAGCTGCAGGAACATTGGACACATTATAATTTCCTCGTAATTTGGATAAACTAATTCCATAATTAACACCTAATGGAATCACTCGCTTAACAGCAGCAGCCATCAATTAATTTCTTCAAAATTTTGCTCGCATTAATTAATCGCTGCTTTTTCCGAGCAAAAAAAAAAGTATTTATATCTTAATCTTCTCTAGAGCAAAGAAAAAGAGAGGGATGAATTAATTAAGAGGAGTTTTAAAAATGGTGGCTGTGGACTGATTGAGGAAAAATGAGAGAAAAGCGAGATTCAAGCTAAGAATGGTTGCCTTTGTTGGTTAAGAAATTCGTTGTTTTTGTTGATTGTTTATGGCGGAAGAAATTAATTTAACTTCTTTTTTACATTCTACGGTTGCTTCCCCAAACAGCTTCGTTTTGCGTACTTTGCTTTATTTTATTATTAATAGTAACGTGTATGCTTTTGTAGAAAAGCATAAAATAGACCCTAATTTTTGGGAGTTGATTTAGAAAATAGTCCTTTAATTTATCACATTTGTGCATTTACTTCCTGTAGCTACTATTTTGTTGTTACGGTTGTGTATTTGCTGTATGTAGGGTAGTGTGTACGCAGACCTTACCCCTACCCTAGGGTAGAGAGACAAGAGGGGTTGCTCTGATGGTAAGCAACCCCCACTTCCAACCGAGAGGTTGTGAGTTCGAGTCTCCCCAAGAGCAAGGTGGGAAGTTCTTGGAGGGAAGGATGCCGGGGGTCTATTTTGAAACAGTCTCTCTATCCTAGGGTAGGGGTAAGGTCTGCGTACATACTACCCTCCCCAGACCCCACTAAGTGAGATTATACTGGGTTGTTGTTGTGGTTGTGTATTTGCTGTATTCACGAATACAACAACAAAAAGCGCCTAAAAATCAGGGTAGTCTAGCTGTACGCACATGTATTCATGAATATAGCAGCAAAAATCCGGGCATTTCAACTGTACGCGTATGTATTCACATTGTTGTATTCATAAATACATCAGTAAAAAGTGCCTAAAATCAGGGCGGTCCAGCTGTACGCACATGTATTCACATGTATTCGCGCCATGTATTCATGAATACAGCAACAAAAAGCGCCTAAAATCAGGGCAGTCCAGTTGTACGTGCCATGTATTCATGAATACAGTAACGGCAGTCACCTTAAAAATAGGTATGTCTAGTTGTCTAACATAGAGAAAAAACATAAATAGCGTATTTCATGTCTCGATGGTAATATATACCGTAAATACTTATTGCTATAAAATATAAAAGATAGCTATAAAAAATAGTATCTTAAAATAATTTTGATTTATAATAAATAGAGTGTATACCTTTGTCGCAGGACGTAAAACTTATTTCGAGAAAACACTACAGTAATTTGATGGAATTGACTTGCGAGAAGTAGCTAGTAGCTGATCTGTATATGAAAAAAAAAGGTTGAATGGACTTTTTCTATTCATTTTCCCGAATATATACCTTAAGAAATTTGATTTAGATATAACCATTGATTCATTTGATATTTCAAATAATAGAAGATAAAAAAAAGTGTTTGATGCGTTCAATTGGGTTGAATATAAGATTATAATCTAGAGATGTCCGTCCCAATAAAGCAGAGGCATTAGTTTTAATAAACATTACTAGAATGTAAATTTAAAGGACTATTTTAAATCAATCCTAAAGAAAAGAGACTATATTCGTCATTATTCAATGCTTTGGGTTCGGATGGCAAAATGGCAAATGACAATCTTGGTTTGCTGTTTTTCGTCTTCTTATTATTTTATTTTATTTTATTTATTATACTACTTTATTTCAGTCATAGGGAATCGCAATGTTACTGGAAGATAAGGTCGGTGAAAACATTGAACATAATTACAGAATATATTAATAATACTAATAAATTAAGTTGTGCATTTTTACCATGATTTAGTTTAGATAAAATAACATATAATCCCCAGTTCACTTTTACTTGAGCATATATATTTAAAATAGATTTTCATTTTTACTCGTTACTTTACGTATATTAAGAGAAGATAATTTTTTTTCTGTTATACCCACAATATTTATTTCTCATTTTAAATTATTTTCTCAAATCCAATAAAATATGCATCAATTAATATGAGTATTATGGTAAATTATACATTTCATTTATTATTTCTTAATGGCCGTGAAAAGTTAAAATGTGGCAAGTAAAAGTGAACGGAGGGAGTATAAAGTAAGTTTTCAAGTTAATTTCCTATGTTCATAGAAGAGCAAATTAACATAGAAAGTATCCCATATATAAACTTTGTAAAGCTGATACATTCTCCGTGTGAAAGTAGCTGGTGGACGAGACGTAAAGTTTTAATAGAATTGGGAATTATATTGACATAAATTGCTAAATGCATTCCCTGTTTTTATCTTCCAACTTGTCAAATTGACCAATTGCAATTGAGAATTCAGATCTAATTCTGGAGAGAAGAGAGAAGGGAGAGGGAATTGACGGAGAAATCAATATTAGCTTAGAAAGCAAATGAGTGCAGATACATATTCCTATTCCTACTTCTTAGAAGGAAGAGTGAATAGCAGAGAACTCTCCGTCAACATGCCTGCTTATGATGAGGGCAGTTTGGTCATTTGATGTGCTATTTGTTTTAAATTGTCTATTATATCCTTATTTGTTGTTAACTATTCGGATCAGAAATAGTAGGTTATTTTCTACTTATGTTGTGGCAATCACCGCTACAGAGTTTGAAGAATAATTTTCTCTCTCCTCAATATTTGACGCATAGTTTTTCGCCGCTCAAGCTTCTTCTACCAAAGTAAATCCTTTCGATTTGCTTTGTTTCCTCTCTATTTTTCTTTGGGTTTTGCTACTTTCTTCTCTTTGATTTTCGCATATTGTTTTTCCAAAATTAAAATTTTGACTTCTACTGAGATTCTCAAAAAAGATTAATCGAAGGTTACATCTGTTACTGGATTTCCTTGAATAACAGAGTGATTTGGTCATATCCTTGCAACACTGGTAACATCGTCATCCGCCAGCTGCATGCTCTGTCAGGGTAATATCATGGGATTAAAAAGTTTTTCCCCAGCTATGTTGTATCTGGTACTTTGATATTGGTTCGGGCTTACAAAATGGTAAAATATTACAACACAATCGAAAAAAATAAGCTGCCCGAGAGAATATTATGCAAGAATAATATTTTCTAAAATTATACTTTCATTATTTTGGCATTCAGATTGCGATTAAGTATGACTCTGTACTTTTTTCAACGCTTTAGAGATGCCAATAAAAAATTGTAATAAAGCAACATTATTTAAAAGTTTCAAAGGCATGTCCTAGATCATTCAAAAAGTGTTCTTAGTTGAAAAAGGTAATGTTCATTGTGTTAGCTTCGGAGATACTTAAATTTACACACAATATTAATTTGCACAAGCCAATACCCTTTGAAATTGTTACTACTCGAAACTGAGAACTTGACAAAGTTTTGCCTTGGAATATGAATGAAGTTGGGTTAAAGCTGGTTATCATGTGTTTAAGGATGTATTGATCCCTGTAGTATAGAACTTTGTATCTTGGTAGCTTGCCCTCTGCAGTTTTCCTCCTTGAATACCCTTCCACATCCTATATAATGGAGACAAGGACATAAACTTAAATTTTTCTTACTTGAAGAACCATAGTAACTGAGAGTAGAGTGGACCATTGGACATGCCTGCTTACCCACTTCTATGTCATCTTGTAGTTTGTTTAATTGCAGCTATACATACTTATAGTCATAGGAACCTAATATGAATAAATCTTGCCGTTCTTATTTAGCTAAATTTATTGTTTTTTTTTCATATATTCCAGAACCAATTGGTCATGAAATAAGCACTCTATTTGATGGTTCATTTTTATCTTGACTAAAACTTATTCTTCTTGTTATTGGTTTGGGTTTAGTAGGTACCAATAACATATAATCCTTTGCATGGTATAAAACTCAAGCTCATTGGTTTTAGAAGTTCTTTTTAGGTATTTTGTTGTGATTCTATAGCTGGGTTTCTATGAAACACAGAGCATAAAGATCAAAACAATTTGTTCATCTTCACGACTTCGGTGACGTTCTTCACTACTCCGTTTTGCTCTTTCAAGGTAAGCGCATAGTTAAAAAAGTTAGTTTGTTGATCTATCGTGTTGGGTCTTTTATTACGGCTCTATTGTTTGAAGGTTTATAAGTTTGACTTCACTGAGCTTCAATAAACTGATAATCAGACCGTAATCTTTAATGTATAACCTGTAAATTATAGAGCTTTGATTTTTTCGTTCTTTGTCTCAAAGTAAAGATTTGGATAGTCTGAGTTGTTTAGTTAGCCTTTCTGGTTGGGTATAAATAAGAGTGTATGAATTGCTCAAATTAAAATAAATACTCAGGACCAAACTACTATTTCTGATTACTATCTTAAAGGTATGAAATGTTGAGTACTTTAATATATGTCAGTTAGTAGCCATGTTGTTAGAACGTTAGAACTTTGCTCATATTTAACTTATGTCTCCTTCTTGCTCATTGATATATTCCATATGTCTTACTTCAGTACTTTTATCATTGGAAGAGATAATATTTTCTATTTTACACAATCAACACCTTTGAAATCATTTACTCTATCAAGACCTGCTATTCATCTATTAGTCGAGCAAGATTCTCAAAGCTTGCAGTAATTACTTCCTGAAATTACTGGTTGAGTTTATTGTCTGGATAATGACCGTGTATGTATTCAGTTACATGTTTAACCTGCATCTTTAGAGTTGCTTAGTTATTATACATAATTATTATCTTTATATGTTGCCGAAGCTGGACTGACTCAATAAATTTCTTGAGCACATGTGGCCTTATCTGGACAACATACTCTCCATTTCTTAACAGTGTTTTGAATTTCCTTCTCATAGTATCTTAGGTAACTAGCTTGTGTAAATTATTTTGTATAATTAGGTTTTTTGCATGACTGCAAAAAGTATTGTGCAGCTATTATTGTAGGGCAAAATTTTGAAACATCCAATTTGGGTTCCTTACCTACTTTCCAAGCTTAGTGNGCACTCTATTTGATGGTTCATTTTTATCTTGACTAAAACTTATTCTTCTTGTTATTGGTTTGGGTTTAGTAGGTACCAATAACATATAATCCTTTGCATGGTATAAAACTCAAGCTCATTGGTTTTAGAAGTTCTTTTTAGGTATTTTGTTGTGATTCTATAGCTGGGTTTCTATGAAACACAGAGCATAAAGATCAAAACAATTTGTTCATCTTCACGACTTCGGTGACGTTCTTCACTACTCCGTTTTGCTCTTTCAAGGTAAACGCATAGTTAAAAAAGCTAGTTTGCTGA